GCCACCTATTTACTTACCAAGTCTGCTAAATCTCACTATAACTTCTTTTTCACCAAAGTCCAATGCGATCCAATTAATATGTAATGGATTTCATGTTCATAATATGCTTAGATTTGTTTCATTTGGATAAATTAACCTGTATGTGTCAGGTTTTGTTTGTTTGTTTTTTTTACTACACAACAAAATACCTGTAGTAGCCTATTTATTAAAAAAATAGATTTGTTTAGCCAGCAAGGGCCCTTTCAGCTCTATCATCTCTTTGTGGATGGCAAAGGTGGGAACACATGCAGAAATAGATAATCAGATTTCAATTTCAAAAAACACAGGAAGACGGTAAGCTGAAGGATGAAGCTTGGGCTTTCTTTTGGTAGAAGTTCACCAGGGTTTGAACTCAGGGGCACTCAACCACAGAGCCACATCCTCCTCAGCCCTATTTTGTATTTTGTTTAGAGACAGGATCTCACCAAATTGCATAGTGCCTCACTTTTTGCCCAGGCTGGCTTTGAACTTGTGATCCTCCTGCCTCAGAGCCTCTGGGATTATGGGCATGCACAAACAGACCAGGCTCAAGCTTGGGCTTTGATAACCACCTTTGGAGAGCATCCTTATCCTCTTCAGTGGACAAGGCCTCAAAGACCTAAAGACCTTGCATCTATACTGCCACAGTGGGGACCAAGCTTTCAATTTACAGACCCTTGAGGGATAAACCAAATTAAAATCACATTATATTCTCAAGGAATTAATTTAGTGTTTACATCTTTTATCCTCTAACATTGAGAAACTTCTTTTTCTTTCTTGTTGATTTCTTGTAAATATTTTCTGCATCTCAAGTTTCTAGAGACTGACTGGAGGGTATAAAATTATCTAAAAAGCTGAAGGTAGAAAAACAATAACTGAGCATTTACTATAAATGAATAAACATTAATTTCATGTTTTCAAAATCAAATATGAAATATGACTAACTTCAAGGTGAATCTATCAAAGTAGTTCTTTTTAGTTTTATTTTGTTGAATTTATTTGGTAATACACTTATTAATGGCTACATGGACTCAGAAGACAAATTCTTACCATGAGGATTTTACAATGTGTTATAATCTTTAAGAGAAATACAACACATAATGCAATGGATCTGTCAAAGAGCAAAGGAGAATACTTGAATGGAAAAACTCATGCAGATGTTGCAGAACACTTAGTTCTGCCACAAAACTACTATGGGCACTACTTCTACTATTGTTTGAAGAGTACCTATTTTTATCAGGAATAAATACAATAGAAACCGAAATCTTTTGTAAGCAAGTTGTAAAATCCCCTGCAGTGCTACTGATACAAACTGAAATACAACTTTTCAAAAGGGTAAGAAACAAATCTCTCTCTTTCATTGCCTATTCCTGATGTGACTACAATATGTGAAATATAATATTACTAAAATACTGCTAAAACCAAAACAAAACTATTAGTTCTATCATCCACATAGAAAAACAATAGAAAATAAATTCTACTTTATAAATTTATATCTCTACTTAAAAATTAAAAATAAAAATAAAGGAAGAATTTTATAAACGTCTAAATTCATGATCTTTGATTCTAAGAGAATTTAAAAGGTAAGGGACATATTTATGTCTATGCCTCTTGAAATATTTCTGCCAATATTTCTTTTATAGTGTCCCTACTAAAAAAAAACTGACAAAATTTAACTTGATTTCAAATATTCATGTTTTTGGCTTAAAAATTATGTATTGTGGATAAACACACTGAAATTAGAATGGTCATTGCATGTGGATGGGAAAGAGATGACAATTAAAATAAGTGGCCTTGAAAATTTTATTGCAATGATGGAAATATTCTGAAACTGATTTAAAAATGGTTCTATCACTTGGTAAATGTATTAGAAAATTACTGTGTTCTCAAAAATGAGTAAAATATATGATATATAAAAATGTTTCAGTAAGGTTGTACACAGATGAATGAATTGAGTGAGAGAAGCCAGACACAAAAACATATGCTATATGAAACCACTCAATTAAAATAAAAATGGGCAGAACTAATTTAGGTTGTACAAAATTAGAACCTGGCAATCTTGGGGTAGGGGTATGACTCATCAGAGCACTTCTGAGAGCCCATTAATGTTCTGTCTTCATCTGGTTGCTAGTTACATGATGAAGCTTATTTGTGAAAATTCACTGAGGTGTACACATATGATACCTGACAGTGTTATGTATATATGTCTTAATACAAACTTATATATAGACACATAACACACAAGTCTGTGTACAAATGTTTTATCAATTTGAAACATATAATCAATTATATGTAAGTTAAATGGGCCATGTATTTTACATGTGTCATAAAAAATATGAGAAGGTCACCATATAGAATATTCAAATTTCCTATATTTAGACATTACTTAAGTTTAATTTATAATACAGATACCAATGGAAGATTTTTTTGTTTGAACAAGGAAATTCATCAAACTAGTGTATTATCCAGCAATACCAAGTTTTCTGACCTAAAGAGAGGGTTTTGAGGGGAAAAGGGTCTTGAGCCCAACCTGTAGCAAATTTGGAAGAGAATTTCGGGAGATTAAGTGGTAGTATATTCACAGAAGACATCAGTGAACCTGTGGAGCTGTGTCAGGAAAACATAGGTCAAAGGATACAGGAAAGAAACTGTTCCCTTGTGTTCCTCATTAGTGTTTCCTAACTTACTTATGTAGGATCATTTGTTCTCTTCTTGTTCTACTAATGCTGTGTCCTTCAAGGACCAACTCTAATATTTCCTGTCCAACAAAATATTCCCTAATATAATATTGCTGAAAGAAATTCTTCCTCTGATTGCCTCAATAATATAAATGAGATCAAAATAAATTGTTCTGAAAATGATACAACTGGTTGCTTTTAATCCATCAAAGAGTAGTAGTAGGCAGAAACCATGTGTGCCTTATTTATCTATCAAACCCAAGTAAAGTGTCATAATGAACTGCATGCCGGGCACTTTCTGGTGTCAGCTGAGTTAATAATCGAAATACTTCCATGAATAGGCTGAACATAATATGAAACCTAAGATGAATTCCAAATGTAAAGTTTCTAAAGTTATTGAGTTTCATATTACCCGCTAAGTCAGTTTCACATTTAGGTTATAAAAATATATGTAATATTTTTTAAAATTATCTCAGAAATATATTAAAGTAAAACATAAAAAAATAAACAGAAACCGTCAGCAGAATCAAGAAGGCTTTTTATAGATATGAAAATGAATAAGAGAGCATAGTTTTTCATTTATACATTGAAAGATGGTTTTAGGTAACTCTAACAGAAGATCTGTTTTGTAGAAGCCTACAATCTTTAAACAAAGGCTAACTGGTTGATAATGTAGGTTTCATTATGTTTCAATGTAATAAGGAGAGTGTTTATGCTGAGGATTGAATCCAGGTCCTTGTGCATGCTAAGCACATGCTCTACTACTAAGTTACACTTGAAGCCCCACAATAATGCAATCTTAAATTCAGTGGTGACATGGTTCATCTTGAACAGATATCAGATTGGATAGTTCTATTGCAGGCAAGTATTGGCATCCAGTGCTATAACCTATTAATCCCAATTCCAAATTTTTCATTCGTAGTTTACATATTAGTATACAGTCTAAGTACAGTCTAAGTACATTTTCAAGGTATATTAAAACATCTGCATTACCTGTCACTATCTAATGTATGAGACTAAAGTTATAAAATATTTTTATCAAGATTATATCAGAGTATATTAATATTAATCACTTTTTGTATTTAGTTATAATCCTTCATGCTTAAATATATGTAGATCCTGATAGTCTCTTTCTAGAATTTTAAATTAAAATAATCACATTAATCAAAAATATTGTTTAGAAAATTTGCTTTCTATGGTTTCAATTTTAAAGCATTAATCTAATTAAACTGTCCAAACTACTATTATTATGGCTTAAATGTATCATAGTAATAATTAACATTATCTAACATGCTGTGGTTGACATAAATATTTAAAACTAAGTTCATTATAAAGCAACTTAGGTAACTTTGGCCATTCCACAATGTGGAGCCAATTTCTTTTTCCCAAGAGTCAAAAACACATATTTTGAAAAAGTGAAAATGTAGAACATGAATAGATCAAGTGCAAGCAAGGAACTTGCTTTGATGTAGAATTAAACAGTTTTTTAGTTAGCTACTAACTCTAACTTTAAAAACACTGGGAGGGCTTACTCAAGGGATTTACTGAGGGTATTGAAAGTATTTTTACTCTCCAGATTCATCATTTCACGTATGTATCCTGTACAGTTCAGCAGGTCCAGAGGATCCACCAAAACTGAGTCTGTCTTCTCTCCCCACCCCCCAATAATTACAAGATTAAGATTAAGGACTTATTTTGGATGTCCTTAACAGTATCAGCAAAACAACACAATTTCCGTGAGAATCTTATAGAGATCAAATAGCTAATGAAGTTAAAATTCTGCTACATTTAAATGAAAACCTAATCACAGAAATGTAGAACCTCCTCCTTAAACCCCACCCCAAGGGATTCTACAGATTTCTATATTTGATTATCTGATTAAAACAAATAAAAACAATTTACTTAGGGTGAAAAATCATTCATCAATAATTTTTATATATTCACTGATTACAAAAATGACATATTAATTTAATTTTTATTCCTCTTTTTTACATGATTAGAAAATTATTATTAACAAAGAATATTTCTGCACTCTTTGGAGAAAATTGTGGTTGAAATTGTAAAAAAATATCTTTCATCACTGGTATAATAACCAAGTTGTAGAGAACTCTGTCAAAATAATAACATGCAGATTAGACCAAGAAACTTAATGAACAAGGTAATAAATTTTAATTAGATACTGTCTCAGATTATCATGAAACATACAACACTGCTGATGTCCTTAACCATGTTTCATAGTCACACTGGTGCCCCTTAAAGGTTTATGTTACACGAGCCAAGAACAGAATATTAAAGATACCATACCTTTGAGACATAATCTTATAGGCATCTGGCAGATAACATCGGATATTCTCCATCTGAGCAGGGTCGGAGTCACAGATTTTGTCGTCAGTCCTCCCATAGTTGGCACTTTCGATCATGATGACGTCTGTTCCTGGACAGCGGAGCTCGATGGGGTAGCTCTCACAGGAGAGCTCTCTGCGGACCACCGCCATTGGGATTGGGGCTCTGCTGAAAGCTATAGTGGAGGAGGAGGAAAGCACAAGGTTAGTAGTGAAGGGCGCCATGCACCTGTCTGCCTGCCCAGGGCTTGGGGTCAACTAACACAAGGAACACCACAGTGAGGATTCATAATTTTAGTAAAAATAGAATATTTCCCCTTTCATTAACTGTAAAGGATTTTGAAAAATCTTACAATTATTTCTTAAAAATTTATCGCATTTTTTTAATAAGTGAGAAAAAAGGCATTCTGAATTTCCTACTAAAACTTTGCTTGTGTGCGAAGTGGACTATGTAGAAATATTAATATAGTTTGAAGAGTAAGATATTCAGATAAAATTAAGAGGTCTTTATTTTCTTTTTCTCTTTCTCTCTTATGGTGTTCCTTTCTTTAAAAAAAAAATCAACCCAAAATTGCACTGCTGCTGACTTTAAAAATACATATTTAAGTACTCTGTATCAATTTTTTAAAGTTCCATTGTTTGAGGCTGGGGTTGTGGCTTACGTACTGAACACCTGCCTAGCATGTGTGAGGCACTGGGTTTGATTCTTAGCACCATATATAAAATAAAATAAAGGATCATTTATAATTAAAACATGTTTTTTTATAAAAAATTCCATTGCTTGATAATTCACATAATTGATAAATTTTATGAATAAATTTATAAATAATACATGCTCTTCCATTAAGAACGTAGAAATTTTTGTTGAGAAAAGTTATGTTTTCCTATATCTCCCTCTCCACACTCTTTCTCCATCTGTCAAGAGGAAATCAGTTGTGGTGAGGATAAAATTAATTGTCCAAACAAAAACTGACATTGTATGTTTCTTCCCACCTCTTTTGATATTGTGTATTACTCAGGTAAATTTAGACATTATAAACATATTATTTGATTATTATTTGTAATGTGTTATTTTATTTGTAAGGCTAATTATATATGGTGGAATATTTTCACTTCTGGATGATATTTTCTTCATTTTAATGGTACCTTAGAATATCTACATATTAGCCTATCCTATACTTATCAGCATTTATGAAGAACTCAGTATTTTGTTTCTTAATATTATAAATAAGTATAAATGTATCTATGTATCTTAGCTGAAATATTTTCGAAAAAATATAATAATCTAAGTTTATTTGTGGCATATTTCTGAAAAAAAATCAATGTGTCAGAGTAAAACACATTTCAAATTTGGAAATTATCAACTAATCTGAAAAAAATAAAAATAAAAATGTCTACTTTCACCAGTAATAGTTTTCATTTCATATTAAACATTATCAATGCCTTTAAATTTTGTCTTTTTGATAAAGAACAAAAGTGTAATATCTGTTTTAAACTTACAGCTTTATTGTACAACAGAGTATATTTTCATGTTTTTTAACCTTTATTTTTCTTTCATCTGAATTGCTTACTTACATTTAAGATTTGCTTTGCAAAACTTCTTTGTATAACAAGGAAGCTAAACATCTGTCCTCTCCATTTGTGGCAACTTCTTTTTTTTTTTTTTTTTCCTAGTTTGTTGCTTCATTTTAGAATGTTTTTTTTTTTTAATTTTTATTGTTGGTTGTTCAAAACATTACATAGTTCTTGATATATCATATTTCACACTTTGATTCAAGTGGGTTATGAACTCCCATTTTTACCCCGTATACAGATTGCAGAATCACATCAGTTACACATCCATTGATTTACATATTGCCATACTAGTGTCTGTTGTATTCTGCTGCCTTTCCTATCTAGAATGTTTAATAAACATATATAGTTAATTTTTAGAAAGAAAATTTCTATCTTTTCATGTCAGTTGAAGACTCCCATTCTAAGACTGAACAATGCCATCACATTAATGGAAGAAAACAAAATATTTAAATGTTGTAAAAATTCAAGAAGACTTCTTTCAAAGCATATAACTGAAATTAAGTGAAGAATTTACCAACTGTCAAAAGTTGACCTCCATATAAGAGAATCAATTATGGAGAAACATATGTGATAGATTAAATTTGCATTGATAGTTGTAAATTAACTCAGTAATGCACACATACATAAAATATGCATTTAAAGAAATATATGCAAGTTTTCATGTGTTGTTCTTTTTTGTTTGTTTTGTTTTTTACTAAGCATGAGATGCAAAAGAAGAACAAGAGAAGAAAAAGAAGAGAGGCAAAAAAGGGAGGGATGAGAAAGATATTTTATAACTATAAATGTTTTCATTTGAAACAGAAAATATTGATTTGTTTCGTGATATATATTCAAATCATTCTCAATTTTAAAATAATATTTAGAAAAAACAAATCAATATTTTTCATTCAAAAATTAGAGATTAAAATCTTTTTTAATACGAAGATTCTGTTTTCATAGATGAAGACATTTTCATTTAAAGTTCTTACATAGTGGAATCTTTGAATAATAAAAATATTTCAGTTAAGGAATCCAGTTTCCATGATTTATATAGTTCAAACAGAGTCATAGAGGTGTTTTTGTTTCCCCTTCAAAGTCCTTAAAATCACAGTTTTCAGATGCTTTATACTGTGTTCTGTACATTTGTTGAAGAAGATTATTTCTTAACTTTGATATAACTATTTAAATAAAATCACTTTGAAATAGCTTCCAAACATTGCATTCATCTGGACTTATTATGTTGATTTAACCAGTCAATTAAATTAAAAACACAAGCTAATTGAACAAAGAAACAACATATAAGTAAATCACACTGTCAAAGCATTTGTTTGACTAAGTGGACAATTCGGATGATTAAACTCATCAGTCAATTTTGTCAAAACACTGACATAGCTTTAATCTGGGTCTTCACTGTCAAAAATATCATTTAGAACCAGACACTAGGCAGATGCAAAGTCAACTAAAATGTGGAGATCCAAATTTCCCATGTATTTTTTTATGTAAGAGCGATACAAATGTTATGTATATGGCAATTTTTACAAAGATCAGAGTTAATGTGTCAAAACTTTCTTCCATTTAACATGTAATTGCATTTGTTTCAGTTACCCAGTGACAAACTATAGTCTGCAGATGATGGATGCTTTGTTTCAAGGAATGTATTACAGGAAACTACTTTCTAACATTATCTAATTAGCTATTTAAATTACCTTTAATTAGTTTTCTGAATATTTTCATCAGCAACCCAAGTCCAAAGGGTGGGGGGAAGGTTTAAGTTAAAAATAAGGTTTTCTATCATTCAGTTGTCATGCTACCAACGGAAAGGTTTTGTTTACACAAGAAATGGCCAAGATTGAATATGCCAACAATCCAAATGTGGTGTGGCAAATCAGTCTCTTGTTCTCCATATTATATCCTTTATTATTTTATTTTCAAATAGTCTGTTGCATGTTGTGTCAGGGTAGCACTTATTAGGCATTGTGAAGTAGATCGTGGCAAATTAATTTGGGGCCAAGAAGGCATAAACATACCTTCTTGAGCTCCTTCCTACATTTAGCCATGAGGTAAATTGGTTATAACAAGAAACACAACGCCTTCTGTTAGACATGTAATAGGTAATTGCTGAATAAGTTGGAAAAGTGTTAGATATGAAATATGGCAATGATCTGGTAGGGTGCTTTGCATTACACTACTCCCTGACCATGAACCTGATTAGGAGCATGTGAACTAACTAAACATCTCTGCTGAATATGGTCAGAACCTGTGGAACTCCCCAAACTCCATATCAATCATATTCCTAACAAAATGTGCTTCTGACAAGGGAGTAACTGTGAGGAAACTAAGTAAAAAGAAATATTAAATAATATGAGAAATAGCTCCCTGCTCTTGCTCACTAGTTTTGTCAGAAATCACTCCCATTATTTCCCCCTTTTTGAACCTTCAATCATTCTGTTGTTAAAACCTCTTCTTTTCCTGGATCCCCCTCCTTGGGTTCTCTCTCCTGCCCCATGATGTCTGACTCTATATGCTGTAAGTCCCTGAAGAACTTTTGCAGGTGGGGAATCAGGGAGGTAAAACCTGGTGTCCAAACAAAAGTCAGATGGTTTTTCCTGGACCCCAAAGACAGGGTACAGAAATTTTCCAGGATAATTCTAGCACACTAGAGAGGGCCTTACAAAGGAGGGATTTCTATATAAAATATAGGCTTATAGGAAAGATATTATCAATAAGAATAAGTAAAAGATCAAAGACAAAGGGAAAATTAATTGGTTGAAGGTAAAGCACAAGTAATTCAGTTTTATACACATTGAACTTTAGGTGTCACAATAGTACCTGGATATGTGCAAAAATCACTTGGATTCATGAGTCTAGAACTCAGCAGGAGTACTCGGGTTAAAGTCATAGGAACATGTAAGGAGTTCAAGTAGTAAAACATAAAGTAACAGAAGAAGAATAAACAAAGAAGTTAGAATATCAGTGGTCACTGAAGGCTGGGAGGAACATGCTACATCATCACTAGAGAAATATAACCAAAACAAAGATTTGAGTGTACTATCACCAAGTTGAGGATAAGTAAGTTAGTTATGGGACAGATGAAGGAAACACTTTATTCTCTTAAATATACTCAGTGATTCAGTCAAAAAGTAACAGCTGCAGACTAAACTACATATAGCAGAACTAAAATCTTCATCCTGTCCTATTTGTTTGTTGTGCTTATAAAAATATCAACAAAACAGCCTACATTTATATTTATTTTCCAATTCCTGCACTTCACACTTTACTCCAAATCCTGTGTATTTGAAAAACAATAATTCTGTTAGAGAATTTAAAAAAGAAAAGAATGGAGATGAAATGCAAATTAGGCTATTTGTAGCAGTAAAGATGAGAGAAGAGTCACTTTACATGGGTAGTGAGAGAGAACATATTTAATCTATATTTAGGATCAAGAAATTACATGATTTGATAATTGAATGGGAGGGGCAAAATATCATGTGACAAGGATGGCTACCAGGTTTCTGGCATCAACAAATATTTAGCTTGTACTTCAATAAACAAAAAGTAAAAACAAAAAGAAAAGCAAAACACCTGATAGGAACTTGAAAATACAGGTCTATGACTGTATAAG